ACCAGTGGGGACGCCCGGTGGGTCGCGCCCATGCCTCAATCAACTTCAAGTGTTATTAAATAGTGACCTCCATGAAGAAAAGTACAATGTAATGATGGCTTAAACAAACACAATTTATCATCCTCCTCACGCTGACATTACTTTACCCTACCAAACCCAGCCAAGCAGGCACAGTGCAATTGGCTGTGTGGCCAGTCTCTGACCCAAAAAGAGACTCCCACAATCCTCTGTCCACAGTTCAGCTCTGTCTATTTCCTCCGATAGAAACAAGGATTCAGACTGATTTTTGGCATATATGCTATATAAATATACTATTTAAATATTATATACTATATAAATATATTGAAGATTTTCCAGGAAGTAAGAGTAAATGGTGATTGGAAACATGGTGAATTCAAGACAAAAGTGTTACTAAATTCTGCTATAGCAGAAATATCCCAAAAATATTAGATTCCTCAAAGGTCTTGCTCTCTTTTACAGCTCCAGACACTCCAGGGCCCATATTCACACAACATCTTAAGGGGTAAAAGTAGCTCATAACATGGCAATTTAGGAGAAAATCTTAAAAATAATGGGCATGCCGGTCCTACATTTAGAACTCCTAAATTTTTGCTCTAAGAGTATTTCACAAAGCGTTTTAGCGTTAGAGCTCCTAAAACTGCGAACCGTTAGGAGTAATGCAGAGATTCCTAAGTCACTAAGACCAAATCACAAACTATCCTAAAATGGCTTTTTCCAGAAATCTGCCTCGGAACATAAACTTTTTAGAAACATTTGACGATAATGAGCTTTTAAAAAGGTATCGTCTTAATCATGAGGGTATTATGACTGTTGTAGAACTTGTCAGGGACGCAGTCACTTCACCAACAAACAACCCAGTAATGCCACAGATCAAGGTTTTGACAACTCTACGATACCTGGCCACAGGGAAAATGCAGTTATGCAGTGCAGGTGAACTAGATATATCTCAGTCATGATTATTCCGCTCTGTTAATTAAAAGGCTGTTTATTTGCATGCATATCCGCTAATTGTTTACGAGAAACACACATGTAAGAGGCTGACAATTAGCTGAACATATACTTGTTTTTCATACCTTTATTTGAATATGGTGACATGATATTCTACATTATTTCAATGACTATAGAAATAATGGGAATAAACTCCCCTATCAGCCAATTAGTGAGCATGCTGACATCATCCATAGCAACGAGGTTCCCCCGCCCTTACTCTTAGCTTAAGACTTCTCTCTATTCCTTAGTAAATGTTTGTTTCAGCAGCTGTGTGAATAGATTTTAAGAGAAAACTCTTAGCTTTGCGGACAACCCTTATAGTGGGATCCAGGGCCCTGATTGAAAATCACTGACCTACATATAGGAATCTACTAGAACAGAGAAAACATACCATCATGCCTTCCATACCAGCATAAAGCAAATGCAAACAAATAAATAAATAAAATTATTAAATAAACAAACTGCAAGACCACTCTGTTTATAACACAAACTTTTGCTACTTCCACTGTGTACCTGGAGTTTTATAACTTTACTACCATAATCATTACAGGTATAAAAAGTTTGCTTTATCAGTTAACCAATAAAGGCATTGTAGATTTTAAGAGAAAACTCTTAGCTTTTACTGCTAATTAGGAGAATTCTTAGTGGTAAGATCAAAAGTTTTGTGAATACGGTCTATAGCATGGAGTTCCTAATTGCTTTTCATTTAATTATCAACAAATTATCAAGTCTCAGATAATATCATATTATCATATTAATCATATTGAATGTATTTAGAATAATATATTCATTTGAACAATCTTGGAAGTCATCTTGGAAGTTTGCGGACAACCCTTATAGTGGGATCCAGGGCCCTGATTGAAAATCACTGACCTACATATAGGAATCTACTAGAACAGAGAAAACATACCATCATGCCTTCCATACCAGCATAAAGCAAATGCAAACAAATAAATAAATAAAATTATTAAATAAACAAACTGCAAGACCACTCTGTTTATAACACAAACTTTTGCTACTTCCACTGTGTACCTGGAGTTTTATAACTTTACTACCATAATCATTACAGGTATAAAAAGTTTGCTTTATCAGTTAACCAATAAAGGCATTGTATTGGCCAGACCCATCAAACAGGTCATTCAGGAAATGATGTGCCAAGAGGATTTTTATGAGTGTATTTTCCAATGTAGTATACGCTGCGGGTCAATGCAAAGCTGAAGTTGTTTGACACTTCATCTATGGTGCTATGATTTTTTATAAACACTATTGACTTGGCCTTTATTGATTGGTGTGAATGTATCACACAAATCATTTTGCACCAAATCAATAAAGAAATCTTGCGGAAAATTTATATTAAAAGACCTTTGTTTGCCTAAGTGAGTTTCAGACAGGCAAAATTGAATGCTTTGCTGATTAATTGAATTAGTTTAAATTTGGGCACGGCAAGCCTATTAAACAATGCATTCTTAAATCATGCTCTGCCTGTATGATTGAAATGAGATTTTTAACAAAATAAGACGCTGTTAAATAAATCATATATGCATTTTACACAGTCAAAGAAAAGGAACATAACTCTTATGAAGCAATCTTTCAATCTTTATGTTCAACACTTACTGATGGGTATTCGCCTGCAGTGGTGCCAAATGCCTCTTGCTTTTAAGAACATTTGTGGCTTCATACGAATTTACACAAACATTACAAAATGGATCTGTACAGACAGTACTGGGGAAATTAAATCATCTTTAAGTACTACAATTGCAGATTTGGCTAAAATGTGTCATATTCAAGAAATATTACACTTTGTGCACCATGGTTTAATTCGCAGAGCCCCAAAAAATGTGTTATGACCAAAACATTGATCTGCTTAAACATACCAACCAGCAGGACACAACAACTCAGGTGATTTTGAGGCGGGACTATATTGTCCATCCAATAATAATAATAATTAATAATAATTCTGTTTAGTGTAGTGGTTCCCAAACACAATTTTAGGTAAGATATTTCTGTATTAATGCTATAATCATGACAAAGCTGATTTTTAATAAACAGAAACTGGGGTACAAACAGAAACAATAGTTACTTAGAGAGGGAAATTATTTATTATTAAGTTAATACTTTTTAAATCTTTTTATTTTATAAATATATCTAATATTAACTGTATTAATAATATTCAAGACATCCTGCAGCTCCCTTGGAAATTTGCTGAGGTCCCCTAGATGCAACACGGTTTAGTGCCACTGCCTGTGCAGAAATCACACACTTTACACAACTTTAAGGAAATCTGAAAATTGTGGCACAAAAAGAATTAAAATTTTAATTAATTTTAGAAAGAATTTTAAATTTCTTTTAAATCACAGTGTTATCACTATTTAATATGGCACACAATCTTAAAAACACTTAGTCAAAACTCTAATCTAGCAATTGTTAAAAATGTCTTTGTAAAATTGTTAAAAATGAACCGAAGGACTGCTGAAGGAGGGTACTTTTATTTTTTTATAACTATCAGTTGATCATTGCTGTTTAATTATGTCAGGTGGATTTTGGAGTAGATAACATGCTGTTATCTCCCAGTGAGAGGGCTAGAAAGGATATCAGAAAGATAAGTCCTATTCCAGCACACACGGCTGCTGTTCAAATATAATGTTCCTTTATATTTAAAAATATTTAATCTTCTGCCAAACTGATGCAGAATAACAGTCAAAGAAAGCATGAAGAATATTTTGAGAATTGTCTATGTGGCATATATTTGCATGTCTATAACTACAGTTGCATTTACTCTTTAAACACATAAAGCAAATGATGAAATAAGAGGTGGGGGTAGAGGAGAGGCTCATGGCAATAATAATAGCCCAAAGGGATTAAAAGATCACATGAGTCAAGAGGTGTGTAAAACACCATAAAATGCAGAAATGATTAGGCTAGATATACCTCCTGCAGCACTCCACACATAATTGAGGGCATGTGCTCTAGCTATTATATAATATTCAGGACAGGGTCATTTCTGTTCTGCAGTGCCTTTTGAATTCCATGTATTTACACAAATATGCAATTTAAGGAAATATTTGTATAAAAGATACATAACAGAAATATACTTCAAGTTTATCTATTCGTATTAAGTTTATCGTATTAAGTTTATCTAGCTCAGTAAGGGATTGACAGCTAGCTGAAATTAATTTAGATTTACAAAAAAAGATATCATACTGATTTCTGTAATCGTCAAGTTGGAATGTTTTGAAGTGACACTATCAGCAAACAACACAAAACATCACGGAATTCATCTAAGAATACTTTGTATTCGCTAAAACATTTATTTTTCTTAAGACAAACCATTTGTTCTAAAAGACAAAGAAATAATTCAAAATCAATATCAAAAAATAAAAATTAATGTAAATAGAGTCTTAAAATTAGAATAACCTGCAACTTGTCTTAAATCCCCAAAGGTAAGATGTTTATTGAATTCACTGTGTTGTTTTAAATAATAAGCATTATTTCATTATTATGATTATTATGGTAATCTGCAGGCTGCACAAAAAGAGGAACTTTGAGGTGTCTTTTGTGATCAGCGAGACTTCTGCAAGACCCACAAACAAACAACACAGCCACTTTCTTCTTAAGAAAATATTTGAGAGGAATTTGCACTTAGGAACATTCTTAAAAACTTGTCATAATCTTAAGAACCATCTGTTTAAACCAAAGTGATTTCCATTACTCAAAACCAAAATGATTTAAAAATCACTCCATGTTCACTTAACTGTAATAAACTATTACAATGCTTCCTCCTCCTAAAAAGTTTAGCTTTACAATATTTAAATAAAATATTAAATTAAAAAAATAATAAACACATTTTTCTTGTCATGAAATATACTAAATAATAGTAATGACCCACATACAACAACAGATACACTAAGAGCTACATTTAGAGCATTTTATAAAATTACACCATTATTATAAAACTGGAACGGACATTAACAAACATTTCTATGGCTTACCTTCAAAATTTTGCAGTCAAGTGTTACATCAACAGCCTGTCATTACAAATCTGTCAGAATCTGCCCATTCTGAAAAGAAACAATGTTTGTTCATTATACAATAACTTTCAAAATGAATCAAATCACAATCCCTTTCAAATTCAACACTAAAAAAAAAACATAGCAAACAAATACATCTTAAAATGAGATTTAAAGATTAGGATGGATTAAGTGTGCAAGTTTAAACCAGCCAAAGGAAATCTCAAATGACAAACATTTTCACTACATCCTGAGGGAGTGAATGGCAACAGAAGTACACAGGAGCTATTTGAATGGGAAATCGGATGCTCCATTAGCAGCGGATTTATTCAATCAGCTAGCTCACCTCTTAATTAAAGTAACTAATTATGCTATTGAAAGACTTCTTGGCTGGTGGCTCCCAAAAGTGGGTTGGCTGGCACACCATCCCCCTCTTACCTCGCTGAAGGTGATGACCTTGTGATAACCCTTGTGTTCATCAGTCAAATTACTGTCCACAGTAATGGTAGTGCCAAAGCACTGGAACACTGAGGCCAACTAATCTGTATTCAAATTACATGCCACCAAACAGTAAGGTGGGCCGTGCAGCCATAACTCAGCTGCTGTGTGCATGCATGGGGAGGGAGCTCAACAATGGCCACAGCCCCATCCCTGTCAATCAGACATTATCATACATTTCCCAGGTGTGCGACAGGCCTTCTGGGGAGCAAATGATATTGGGAAAATTCATCGTAAGTCTCCCTTGCAGCCGTAATGGTCCATTTAAATTAATTACAAGTCAAGGGATGCATGGGACGGGGTCAGTCTGTGCATCAAGACTGAGGTAAAGCCGGCTAAAGTAGTTGTTGTGTTGTCACATGTTTAGAATATGTTTCTGAATGTATTTAGACTGGTGCTTGCAAACATTGTTTATGGTGTAATATTGTTTAAGGGCCTGTGTTTGGGTTCAGTTAACCTAATGATTGTAAACTTAATGACTTTATCGTAATGCTTATCAGTTAATGCACATTTAAATAGTTGATATGTCAAACTTTAATAAACAGTAATATATTTGATATATATTAATTATCTGTTCTACAATTACTCGATGACTAGTCAGCATGAAAGTAAAGTTAAAGTCTTTTCTGAGACTGGACGCTCATCAGAAAATATTTCGTTTGCTAAATTTACTGCCACATTTAATCTACATGAGGCTCAAGCAAACGATGAGGAACCAATCTAAAACCACCCCATTAACTAAAATAGTGATTATAGTCGTAAGTAAATTAGCATACACAGCGTGTATGCTAACAGCGGTACGAATGTCGGTATTTCTTATCCCATTTCTCGATTATTCATATCCTTTTTTCATTAAGGAACACCAAATACAAACACTTTAAAGAGTGAACAAGAGGACGGGTGTATTATACAACCTGCATTCACTACAAGTCGGTTGCTCTTACAACTGACGTGTTTAATTCATGATGTTTTGTCACCACCTCTCGGTCACACGAGATATAACCGCGCTTAATAAAGCTCTGGGATAAAACAGCAGGAAGACTGAACCTGAAATTCATTTAAACAAATGCTTTACATGTTATCAGACGTCTTTGACATTCTGTGGTGATTATCTGCTCTTTTAAACATTTCATAGTCTCCCATTCCTCAAATACATCACAAACAACTTTACATTACACAGGAAAATAATGAACAGAATCTACCCATCTCAATTTGTGAAACAGTGGTTCAGTGAACATCTTTTTCTTGTATGAATTGGCCACCACATATTCCTGAGCTTAACCCTACTGAAAGTCTTTAGGATGTGCTGGAGACAACTTTACTGAGTGGTTCGACTATCCCATTGTCAATACAAGATCTCGGCCAAAATTGAATGCTGCTCTTGTTGGAAATAAATGCTGTGATGTTGCATGACATTGTCGAAACAATGCCACAATGAATGCACAATATAATCAAAGCTAAAGGCAGTCCAATGAAATATTACAGTAAGCAACTTTTTTTTTACAGGCAGTGTATAATGGCTAATAGAAACATTTGCTGTTATTTTACACTGCAGTTATTTTCTAGCCTTGATATACAGGTGCATCTCAATAAATTAGAATGTCGTGGAAAAGTTCATTTATTTCAGTAATTCAACTCAAATTGTGAAACTCGTGTATTAAATCAATTCAATGCACACCGACTGAAGTAGTTTAAGTCTTTGGTTCTTTTAATTGTGATGATTTTGGCTCACATTTACAAAAACCCACCAATTCACTATCTCAACAAATTAGAATATGGTGACATGCCAATCAGCTAATCAACTCAAAACACCTGCAAAGGTTTCCTGAGCCTTTAAAATGGTCTCTCAGTTTGGTTCACTAGGCTACACAATCATGGGGAGGACTGGTGATCTGACAGTTGTCCAGAAGACAATTGACACCCTTCACAAGGAGGGTAAGCCACAAACATTCATTGCCAAAGAAGCTGTCTGTTCACAGAGTGCTGTATCCAAGCATGTTAACAGAAAATTGAGTGAAAGGAAAAAGTTTGGAAGAAAAAGATGCACAATCAACTGAGAGAACCGCAGCCTTTTGAGGATTGTCAAGCAAAATCGATTCAAGAATTTGAGTATAGGCAATGTGTATCATGCATTTAGTATAATAGTAAATAAATACATCTGTAGTTAAAGTCTCTATAAAACACCAGAATTACTTTGGCAATGAAGAAAATTATTTGAAAAATAGATAAATATACATGAATAATTTTACTATTTTCAGTTTATTCAGAAAGGCATCAACAGTGACATTGTTTATCTGACGATAAACAGTTTTTCACAGAAAATACAAATGCTACACACGTGCCTCAACTTACTGCTCTCTGGCAAGAATCCTGAACTGTTTTGTTGGCCATTAGATTACATCCTTGTAACAAATTCAACAACATATCATATCTGAATGAATAATTGATCTGTAAATGGGCCAGTAAACAGACATAACTGCTCTGGTCACTTGACTAAGATTCAGATTTAGTGAAACAATGCAGCACTGGGAGTTTCCAGCGTGAGCTGCTGTGTATCCGCAGGTCCAGCCATTCCTGCTGAGCCACGGCCAAGTAGGACTCAGGTGGGGAGGAGGACAGCAGCTCAGGGGTCACTGAGCTCTCAGCGTGTGTCAGGGCCTGCTGGAACGCTGCCTGTATGTCCATACTCTCCAGATTATTAAGACTCCCCGCTGCCTGATCCATGACCTGTGCACTGCTTGGACCTGAGGAAACACGGCACACAGGTATTAACATGAAGCTGATGTCTGTTCACACAAGATGAAAACTCATGTTTTATTTTATATAACAATTTGTACACTACTTTATCTTGCTAAGCCTTTTGTTATAGACACTTTGTCTCGAAGCATAAGTTAATCCTGGCTGACGGCAAATAACACATTTCTACAATGCTGTTGGTTACCGAAACGTTTGCTTTCGGGTTGATGCAACAATCATGCCGCTAGGTGTCAGTATAAATCCAGCATTATATCAGCCAGGAAATAAATGGCAGATTGAACCTCGAGGTAAAATGACTCCCTGAATCTATAAATCAATGTTGTATATTTTACACAAGCTTAAACAGTCAAAAGTCTAAAAAGACTGAGGTCTATGGCAGATGGTCTCAATAAGGGGGTCACAGCAAATGTCCAAGCAGGCCACAGGATGACTTTTAGTATTTTAATTAATAATTTATTATTAAAACATTAAAATGATTTAACTCCAATCAACCTTAAAATTCTAAAAATAAACAAAATCAAGATGCAAACATTATATATATATATTTTTGGCGATCTCTGATTAATAAAATGTTGTTTGTTAAAGGGGTCATGAATTGATAAATACATTTTTCGCTACACTTTATTTCGATAGTCCACTTTAGACATTCTACTAACTATAAGTAGCTCTGTAACTACATGTCAACTAATTCTCATTAATCTGCATCTACAGATCTACTAACTCTCAGAGTAGACTGTTAGGGTAGGTTTAGGGTTAGTAGAATAAGATGTCAACTAGCAGTTAGTGGAGTATTAGTAGACTGTCTGCTTAATATCTTCTAACACTTTCTTTGTCATGTAGTTGCATGTTACTTACTGTTAATAGAATGTCTAAAGTGGACTATCGAAATAAAGTGTTACCAATTTTTCCTTGATCTTTTTACACATAAGAGGTCATTGTACTGTAAAGACATAATTTAACCCTCTGGTATTGTTCGGTCATTTTATAAAATCAAATTTAAAAAATCGCTACTTCATCGAATGGTACGAAACTTGCTGACTTTTATGACGGTCACTATGTGATCACAAAAAAAATTGTGGACTTGATTCGAAAAAGCTAAATGGTCGTAAAAAAAAGTCACACGTGTTGTTCGCGGTCAAAAATGACTGACATTGGAAATAAATGGGAAATACACAAAAATACAGAGAATTTCTTGTGTGTACAATCTACAAATCATTCACAATCCAGAAAAAAGTGCACAGCAATGAAGGGGTGACATTCTAAAATATCAAGAGTGCAAAACAAACACACTTGCCCCACCCACAGACACACATATATGAACTAGTGTGACTGTAACACACAGCATGTTTTTGCAAATACTTGAAATAAAATCAATAATTTAGCCACAATAGAGTAAAAACATAGACACCAAGTAAGGGGTGACACTCTAAAACTTCAAGAGTACAAAACAGACACACACACTCACAGACAAGACAACACACACACCACACTATTATAAACACAAATGAACTGGTGTGGCTGTTACAATATGGCAAAATTGAGGCAGAAGACTCAAATAAGAGGTTGAAATCAGATTGATTAAACACTGATAAAGCATTTCTGTTCATATTTGTTACATTTTTGTTGAACATTGATGTTATGTGTAATAAAATGTATTTTGTTGTGTTCGGGTTTGACTGTAGTAAAAAAAACAGTTTTTTTCATACAAAAACTGACATTTCAAACCAACATAAAAAAAAATAAAAAATCTAAACCTTTACAAAAAGTGGTCTTTGAGAATGTCCAAATATAAATCCAAATCTACAATTAAAAAATATATATATTTATGTCTAAAAACAACTAGAGAATTTATAAGCTTTTCATATAGAGCTCCATAGGAATCTAATGGCTAAACCACGGAATTTCAGATGTTTTTCTTTTTTTACTCCCACCAGATGGAACTAATCTGGTTTTAAAGGCATTGTATGTATTTTAACATGAAATACTGCCATAACTGAAAAGTAAAAAAAAAATACATTTAGAAAATACATTTTTGTATAATTTTCAATGGGAAAAATGTATCATAATTATTGCATAAATATTAAATACGACCATGGAATTCTCTCAAAATACAAAAGATAAAATATTATTGAACAAAAATATATAACATTGATTTCACTGAAAAAATAAATTTTAAAAAGTTACATTTCAAGTGTGACTCCCAAATGAACAATACCAGGAGGGTTAAGTTTCAGAGCTCAAAACTTCCTTGATAGTCTAAAAACTGCTTTAATTGAAACCAAGCTCAAATAAAAATCTAAATGACAGCATTTCTATCTTCTTTTTAATGAGCTACAGCATAGCTGGATGCCTTGGAACATTTCAGAAAATCGCTAAAATGGACAATTACATCTGTGAGGCATATTTGGAGTTTC